CTACCCTTTGCATGGACGAATTTCCCAACCCAAAGACAGCCCATTTCACCACCTTGGGTACATTAGAGTGTGTGTTTGGAGTCTATTTCATATAATAGTAGTGAATATTATTGTGTGAAAAGAAATAGCCCCAAATAAAATAAGAGTGTGTTTATCTCTTATTCATTATTTGGTTTATCCTTATACAACAAGAAAACCACCAAAGAACTCCCTTTTTCTCTCCCAATTTCGTCCATCCCCTTTCCCCCATTTAAACACTTCATTTCTTCATCAAAAACCATTCCATAATATTGCTTTTCTCCTGCCCTTCATTCTGTGATATACCCCAAGTTACACCTTCACACACGCCACTAGTATTAAAAGAAATCCAGTGTTTAATGTCTAGGTGTTATGATCCATTTTGGGTTGAACTCATTGTTCTATCCCACACCAAAACCCAAACCATGACCTATCTCTCCCAAAACCCAACCTAGGCCGAAATGCCTACAAGCCCAACCCACTCCCACATATCCAAAGTATTTTTACTACTCAAATAAAGCCCTTTTCCTCTCCCTTGAAGCCCTGGCCGAAATTCAAAGGAAGGGTACAATCTAAAATAATGTGAGTGTTGTTTTCTTCCATAAATATTCCTTTCATCAAATAAGAACCTTCCCCATCCCTTCCTACTTCAAAGTCACGAAAATATGCCCCCATTTATTCTTAAAACCAGTCCCCATCCATCACAAACATCCCCCACTACAAGAGGAACAAACCAGGGGACAAGGAATAAAACATGTCTTTTGTCCTGTTGTGATAATACATCAAACCCACACCCTTTCACACCCCCTTATGCCCATGGCCGAATTCAGCCCCCTAAATATCCCATTTATCACCCTTCAAATCCACAATAAAACCAAAGGAATAAAGGATAATCCTTAATGTATTATTCCTCATGTGTGGACCAAAAATACAGCCCCTAAACTCACCCTTCACATAACCAAACCACCCCCTTCTCTCACCCTTCACATGGCCGAAATCCCCTCATCAAAGACACCCCATATTCACCCTTTAACACTGATCAATTAAGACAAACCAAAGGCATCAAACAAATGGATATTATACACTTGATTCTAGGAAAGTGGTAAGAAGCTTCCCCTTAGTTTTTCTTCCCCTTATTTATTTCGGCCAAGGGCCTTGTAATGCAGTACCACATTGTATTTTTATTCTCTTTACTCTTTGAGTAAAATATTTGAAGCCATGGCCAAAAAGTATTTCATTTGCCTTTAATAACCAAAATAAAGTCCTTCACCTCCCTTTGAAGCCATGGCCAAAAATCCAAGAGACAAGGACAAACAAAATTGCTTTGTGTGTGTTGTTTTCTTTCCTAATATTCCCTACTTTGAATTAAACCTTCCCCCACCTTTTCCTACTTCAAACCCGCAAAAATACATCCCCTTTTGGCCTTAGAATCCATCCCAATCAATTACAAAACACAAAAGACCAAATCAGGAAACAAGGATTAAACATGTCTTTTGTCTTGGTGTGAAAATCATTCAAAACCATCCCCCCACACATCCCTTTGTCCCATGGCCGAATTCCTCCCCCCAAACATCCCCCCAAATCAGTTCTCACACCTATTATAAGGCCAAAGGAATAAACAATGAGCCCCTTGATGTGTCACATACCTTACTTTGCATAAATGGACAAAAGGACACACTCCCTCATCCTACCCTTCGCATGGACGAATTTCCCAACCCAAAGACAGCCCATTTCACCACCTTGAAATCCTTTTAGCCTTGATCAATGAGGACAACCTATGGGATCCATCAAATAGACATTATGCACTTGAATTGTAGGATAGAGTGGTGAAGTTTCCTTGCTGTTTTTCCCTATATATTTCGGCCCTATGGCCTTGTAAAATTCATTCATTGTATTCCATTTCTTTACTCCTTGAAGTAATATCTGAGTTGGTGTGAAGCTAATTCTCTCACTTTTCTAATGAAATATCTCTGAAGTTGGCTACTTTTGAGTGTGTGTTAGGAGTCTATTTCATATAATAATAGTGAACATTATTGTGGGAAAAGAAACAGCCCCAGATAAAATAAGAGTGTGTTGATCTCTTATTCATTATTTGGTTTATCCTTATACAACAAAAACCACAAAAGAATCCCCTCTTTCTCTCCCAATTTCGTCCATCCACTTTCCCCCATTTAAACACTTCATTTCTTAATCAAAAACCACTCCATAATATAGCTTTTCT